AAAACCACAACCACACATTCCCGGAACCCCCTTTTCCACCCCCATTCCCCTGTTTCCCAATATATTCAACATGTAGACTTCAGTTATGTGTTTGGTAGATAATGGCTAGCATCAGGACAGTATGCAAGCACTTGATTAGACATTAGTTACAAATACTGTACAGGGATTAGACAGGATATATGCAGCTTGATAAGGATTCAATGTAAGAAGGAGAGCTAAGGCAGGCTTTAACTTGAAATAAAAATTAGAGTGTATTTCAGAGATACATTTTTGAGTGACAGAGCACTGGAATAGGCTGCAAACTTCAAATTGCAAGGCAGGATATGACCTGCAGCAGAGGTCCAGCTCTGGAAACATTGCTTGGCATTTTTACAGTGCCAGTGCAGTGGAATAGGTTGGGAGAGGTGGAAGGAATTCTTGGGGGCTGGATGACAATACCAAGTTTAAACTGTAACAAGAGAAAATAGCCTCTCCAAAAAGAAAATAAACCCTGAATAACTAAACCCCAACCCATTTTTTAAAGGAGAACTATGGGGTCAGTGTTTTTCCCCATAGTTCTACTTAGGGTAACGGGAGGACACAAACTAGCGTCCTCCCATTACCCTAAGCTCAGTATACCGCGAGCTACAGCTCGCGGTATACTGAGAAGCTGCAGCTGGAGCGGATCCCGACTTAGACGACAGGATACGCCCAGCTGCGTGAGTGACAGCTGGCTCTGCCTATCTAGAGGCAGAGCCAGCTGTACCCGCCCCCTCCCCCGTCCGTTCCGCCAGTCAGCGCTGGCAGATCGGAGCGGGGAGAGGGGAATCCAGCCCCTTCCCCTGTCACGGCAGAGAGCCGTGACAGGATCGAGAGGTGAGCGAACCCGGTATGTGTTCGCTCACCTCCCGATCTACTGAGCCGACCTGTGACAGTCTCATTGTCACAGGTCGGCTAGAACTATGAGGTGAGTGAAAAGCACTCACCTCATAGTTCTCCTTTAACCTAGCAGAAAATATAAATAACGGTGAAATGAAAGAAAATAAAAAACTGCCAGAAGGGCACATCAGTTGAATAGCAACTAAAGGTGTTGCTGACACACACAAAAAAGTCCTTAAAAAGGACTGTTGGTCCTGGGGTCTCTGAACCCATCAAACTGAAATCCACAGTAACTGCACAATATAGCACAGGATAGCACTGCATAGCAACCAGCTCTCCCTACACAGAATATCATCTCTCCCTAAATTACTCCAACACACACTGACAAATGGCTGCTGGGAACCCTAGTATGATGAGGAGACTGACACATAACACAGTTACCATTTCTGACCCTTGTAAGCTTTACCTAAGTTCAAAGGTCATGTTGTACATTATGTCTTCAAACAATTTGTGCAGAATTAATTCAACATAAAGAATCACATGTAGTCATCGATCCACCCCTCTCCAGACCGGAATTCCATAGAACAAGTGGATGGTGGTATGACCTCTGGATGGCACCAATCACAGGTATATTGAAAAAGTCACCTGCACTCCAAGGTCAAATGTGCTGAACACCCTTTTATTAAGACGCTAGGCAAACATAGCAACATAGTGACCAACACAGTGACATCACTGTTTGATGGAGGTACCATGTTCGGTTTCAAAATGTTGATTATTGCACTGTCACTTTGTTTGCCTAGCATCTTAATAAAAGGGCGTTCAGCACGCTAGGCAAACATAGTGACAGAGCAACATGGTCCCTCCATTAGGCAAACAGTGACATCACTGTGTTTGTCACTATGTTTACCTAGTGTCACATTTGACCTTGGAGTGGGGGTGACTTTTTCAATATTCCAGTGAATTCAACATAAATTCACTGGTACCGCAATCCTCAAACACACAGGATTCGTCTCATGCCCATGGTAGCATCAAACCCCAACATCATCCCTAATGGTGATATACTGTATTTCATAAGGATAACACATAACTATGACCTCCCTTCTACATTCCAACTGGACAAGCTTGTACACTCAACCCATTAGACATTGATAATCCTCATATTAGAGTAGTGGAAATATATACTACTACCCCATTAATATGAAAAAGAAGCAGGCATTGTGTAAGTTGCATCCAGCTTCAGCAGGGCAGTGTTGCAATTGGCCAATTTGGAGGAGTCCAGATTTTTGGGATGTCTGGAGAGGTGCTCATGGTGGTCCTGGGTATTGGGAGTTACCTTTTGATGCCTGATCTTAAGTTAACGTACAACAGCCATGAGAAAAACATTGAGCTAAAACTGCTTGTTGCCTGACTGTCTGGCTTTACCCTTTTAAGTCACAGACCTGGAACAAGCATGCAGTAAATAAAAGTCAGAATTCCTTATTACTATACATGTTCCATGTTAAGGATTTTGAAAGTAGTTAAAGAGAGTAGTAAATAGAGTGACAGTTTCTAACTAAAACACAACAATATAACCTGACAGAGCTTCTAGCAAAAAAAATAAAATTGATTACACCTAAAAGGAAACCTGTATTTAGAGAATATAGAGACTGTCGTTGCTGAGCTAACCTCTTGAGAAGGCTAATTGATTGACTTTTATTCTCATCCAGTGGCTTGAAAGCTTTCTGAGGCACCAACCTCAAACCAATATATTGATTACAACTTTGTTTGTATTTAGTATTGTTCTTTTAGATCCTAATTGCAAGGTTCCCCTGCTAGTTTTGTCTGCTTTATTGTATTCTTCTAATTTTGTTTCTGCATTTATTTTTAAAACCAAATAAAATCTTTCAAACAGGACTTCTGAGTTCTTTCTAATCGGCATTATTCTAGTTCAGTGACTTGGAAAGGCAACTAGTATTCTTAGAGAATTGCCAGCAACAGCAGCCTTCATAATTCCCTTCAGTTAGTAAAATATGGGTATTCTTCTATACATATTCATAAATGTTAATAAGGGTTTTTAAAATAACATAAATTGGGTTGCGAGTTTACTGGAACTTAGATTACTCTAATAACTTTAGAGCAAACCACACAAAAACTAGGTCAATATATTCCCCAAGTAAAAACACAGAAATATTGGTTGTGTGTGAAACTGGTGCACTTTATCAAGCAAATACTTTATTTGAGACAATAACATAATTCAGTGTGTGGTATAACCTGATGCTTTGATTCCAGTGGGTGGCGATAAGAGGTCAGACATGGAACTTTGATGAACTATGAGTGAAAATAAAAGGTTGGTTAAAAGGTGGTTTCCTTCAAAAACTTTACAATAGATTTGTCAGTGCTTTGGAACTAGCAAATGAAATATTGTGACTGATTCATGTTTTTCTAAGTAAGCTCTACTCCCAAGAATCCTATTTACTATTTTGATTTACCGAGACATGAAGTGAAGTGGTAGGTTTAAATTTCAATGCATTTTTACTGTAAGGCCCTGTACAGAAGGACTTCAGATTCTTTCACAGAAATGTATACAGCAAGCTTTTACAAAAAATCTGAAAATCATTATTTGAGCTTTGTTAAAAGCTTTTATAACACTTTTATGCTTCAGTTTGGGGATGTAAACTTGGATCGCAATAGCCAGGTTAGAAATCTGTACGCTATAATGTACATTCCCTTTTCCATGCTGCCTCATTCTGCACAATGCTATATACATTCCCTATTCTACCCTGCCTCGCATGTATGTTGTTCTGTACACATTCCCTATTCCACAACGCTTCATTTTGTACACTGTGCTGTATATTCCCTATGTCACACCCTCTCATTCTGTACAATGTTCTGTGCATTCCTCGTTCCCCCGCCTCATTGCGTATGCTGTGCTGTACATTCCCCACTCTACACTGCTTTATCCTGTACGCTGTGCTGTACGTTCCCTATTCCATAACGCACTGCATGCATGCATTTCCTATTCCACACCAACTTATTCTGTTATATGTACTGTGCACTTCCTATTCCACACTCCCCCATTTAGTATTCTGTGGTCAAAATGGTATACATTCCCTATTCTTCGTCACTTCTCTCTGTACATTACCACATTACCTATTCCACATCATCCCAGTCTGTATGCTGTGCTGTACATTCCCTATTGTGCATTGCCTTATACTGCATGCTGTGCCCTGTTTGCACATTGGTAAAGCCTGCATATAGGCTGGGCCTTTTGTGAAAAGGACATTTAGTTGTATTTGACTCCAGGCTAAAAGATTGAACCACTTCCCTGGGGTTTACATTCACGTGTTTGTATATTTTAAGATTGCAGTGCCTGCATGTCCTATTATACATTATATAAAACTCTGATGACAGATTTCCTTAAATAATAAAATTTCCGCTCCGTGTGTAAATTGGATTTGCTTTTGTACAGTCATTTTCCAAAAGACATTGCTACACAATAGTTTTCTTCACCCTTTTATTAAATTAAAACAAAAAGGCTATAATATCTGTTAAAATGCAGGACAAATAAGATAATAAAACTTTTTTTTGTTCTTTAATGTGGACACATCACAAAATAAAAAAAGAATATATATATTTACACTATATCTTCAAATTTGGTCACTTTTACATTAGATATTAACAATTCTAAAATTTTGTGGCAAAATGACCTGCTCTGTGTGTAATGTGAAGTGCACATTTGAGGGTTAGTTTTTGTGTTTTGGCTACCTACAGTGCACAGATGTCTGGTGCTCTAGGTTTATTGCATTCTATGTTCTTTATTTATGTACAATATGGCTCAATCAGAACACAAAGTTACCAGCCATGTCTTAAAACATAAAACATACTATTCAGTGCAACACATTTCAGTCCTTTGAGCACTATATACATTACAGTAACCACAAAACACTGCTATACCTCTTAAAGCAGCAAGTACCTCACTACCTGTTTCTAGTCTATCAGGGAGATTCTTTTTCCACACTCTCACTTTTGGCCAGCGGATCCAGCTATAATCTGCAGTATTACTTCCTTCATTTAAAAAAATCCATGAATTTGCAGATGAACAGATTTGGCAACCTCCAGTTGTGCTTTCAAAAATAATATATTTGTGTTTTTTTTCTTCTTTTAGTAAGTGCAAAGCAAACATCTTGTGCAGCTACATTGGTCCTAGGAATAGAAATGTAACCATGAACATCACTCCTGACTGTTGTTTGTGGCGCTTCAGTCACCAGTTTCGTCCCCTGCTTTTTCTGGTATGACCTCCAGGCTTCTTCTAGGCTTGGAGGCCTCTGTGCTTCCGGCGGTTGCCTTGTTTAGTCCACATGATAAAGCAGCATAGTGAATTTGCTTTAGGTTCTCAGTGGTCTCTGTTTTGGCATACTTGAGAAGATCAGCTTGTCCCTGTAGGATTAAACAGAAAAATCTGAATTAGATTTAGAGCAGTGGTTCTCAACCTGACCCACATTTGTCCTCAGGTCAGGAAGTCACGACCCAAGTCGCACTGCAATGGAATGCACAGCAGTGTGAGCGGCTGTGCTGTGACGGAGCTCCATCCATATGTGCATTGCCTGCGCAGCTCACATGTGCGCCTTGTAGAAGTACAGGGAACCAGAATGTGATGTCACTCCCAGTCCAGGCACCTCTACAGGACACGCGAGGGAGCTTTAAGCAATGCATGTATGGAGGGAGCTCCTTCGCGGCCATACCCCCCAGTCCACCCCACCTCAAGTCAACACTCAGCGCCGGGCAGCATATTTTGAATGGCTGCTTGGTGTAAGAATGGACAGTGCTGCGCTAGGGAGGGGGCTGAGGAGCCTCTCACCTAGAAAAGTGGAAGGCATGCGGCAACCCACTGAACACGGGGTCGCGACCCACTTTTGGGTCAGGACCCGCCAGTTGAGAACCAAGGATTTAGAGGATAATGTTAGAAACATAGGATTATGCTTTTGCTTACAGAAAAGTCATAATTTTCAAGCTGCTTATCCTAGTGAGGGTTGCAGAAAGCAGAACAGTCTTGTCCAGTCCAGACTTGTTTATCCCTGGTTATTAAGTTAATTTCTTCTTGGGGGAATTCCCAAGGATCGCCAGACAAAATGGGTAACAATGTGCAGGGACAGATTACTGCATAGCCAACATAGGACATGGGTAACGCAGCCACCATCATGTTCCAGACTCACAATAACACATTTCTATGTAAAACAAAAGATTCCAGACTGGTGACCTCCTGCCACTGCAATCCAGATGGGTCCTTACAATTTATCATTGTTCTTTTTGTGCATTTTTGCTGGTGAAATACTGTACTTTGCACTTACAGTTCTCCTACTCTGGTTCTTTTCACAGTTCGTGACAGAACTGCTAGCAGGTTAGGGCAATAGGTTGTCTAATTTTTTAGTTGTCTAGTTTTACTTAAGCAGAATAGATAAACTCTCTATTTCACCCCCAGACTCAATATGCTTTGTGTTATTATAACGTCTTTTTTTATTAGTGTAATGTGTAATAATAGTGTAATGAGACAAGCCAGTCAATACGGGTAGAAACGGGCAGCAAAAACTGTTTATCTAGGGAAGCAGAGGCGGAACAATTGCCATGGCGGCCCTGATGCAGTGCGTGTCACCTGGGTTGCTATGGCATCTCAGGCTGCTGGCTGTAAGGAGGAACGTGCCGCTGTTCAGATCACAGACAACCTGGCAGTGAAGGAGGAGGCGGGGCCCAGTGATGGAGGAGGCGGGGCCTGGTGATGGAGGTGGGGCCTATCAGCGACAGTGGATGGGTCAGGGCTGACAGGTAAGAGGGTTTGACCAGCCCACCTGAGACCCTGCAGAGCCCACCATAGAGTCTATGGTGGGCTCTGCATTGTCACTCCCAGGTGGGCTGTTTGGGATATCATGCGGGCATAACTAGAAATCACAGGGCCCCATACAATCACAGGGCCCTTCCAAACACAGTCAATCTTGTAAGACACTCAAATCACCTCAGATGGCTTTTGTCAATTTGCAGTAACAATGGCTTTACCACAGTTTGGCCATCCCTGACCTAAAACTGTTGATCTTCTCACCCTGTGATAGAAAGACAGTTCTGGACAACCATGGAAAACCCTTGTACCGATAATGATGTTCTATTGTTCATTATGTATACAGTAATTCATGACCATAGAAAAAGTCCAAGAGATAAAATTACATAGCCATTAAATGTTGGCAAATGTTTACCTAGATATGATCATATAATATCGTTTCATTTGATCCTGTCAAGCAACATGTAATTATGCATTTCTATATATACAGAATATATAGATAACAATTTAACATTGGATTGAGGAAATGATGACTTTCCATACATGTGCTGGTGAAAAGCTACCTAGCTGAAGTTTGGTTCATGTAACACAATGACTGTTTCTTCTGTATAAATAGATCAAATTTACAAGATTAGAACATATAACATCATAAATGAAAAGATCAAACTTCCCAAATGGAGAGCGTTGGCCATAAATAAAGAAGTAGGTTTGCTTTAATAAGCACACATACTTCAAACCCAAATCAAGAAAAGCAGGGTGAATGGAGAGTTCCCTCTTCATACATTGTGCTGTACATTACATACCTCATACTACTGAACTCTGTGCTCTAGGTCATGCACTCCACACTGCTAACCATCAAAATATCTTCATGGTGATAGACAGATGTTAATGGTACCACCAGGGATGTAGCTACCATGGGGCGAGTGAGGCACTCGCCTCAGGTGCAGCTGAGAGGGTGGCGCAGCCAGGGCCGGCCTGGCTGTGCCCCCTCGCCCGTGTTGCCATGGCAAGCACAGGGCGCCATTGGCAACAGGGGCACCAGGCTGCCAACACAGCCACGGCTCGACAGGGAGAAAAGGAGTGACACAGGCTCCAGCTTCTCCTCGGATCCCCGCTGCTCTCCCCCAACTGCATGG